AAAGACAAACATCAAGCACTAAGCAGGGACAGAATTAACTCAGCTGGAGTGGAAACTGAGTAGGTTGATAAACCAAAATGAATTGATAAACTCAAGCAAGTTTAGTAGAGATCTCCCCAAGACAGTTAAGAACCTGAAGTACACAACATGACAGAAGAGGTGTAAGGGAGCTTGATTTGTTCAGCCTGGAGAAAAGAAGGCTCAGGTAGGGTGTTCTCCCAGTTGTCTTCAACTAACAGATGGTTATGAAGACTTCTCAGACACGCACAGTGAAGGACAAGAGGCAACAGACATACAGCATCACAGAGGACACTGATTAGATAGGGAGAACATCTTCCTCAATGAAGGTAATCCTATACAGGACAAAGCTGCCCAGAGGTATGATGGAATCTCCATCCCTAAACATTTTCAGAACTTGACTGGATGAGGCCCTGAGTAACTCCGTCTAATTTTGAAGTTGGCCCTGATCTGAACAGGGGGTTGGATCTGATGACTTCCAGAGAGTCTCTCCCAACCCAAATTATTGCTTACATCCTTTCCCACATGAGTAGCTGCTGCCTTACCTCTCACTAAGAGAACCAAAACCATGTACCCAAAACCATGAATAGCCATAATAGGAGCTCTCTATTAATTTCTAGTTTACACTATAGGTAAGTTTACGGAATCATTATGTTATAATAGATCAAATGCCAACAGCTGAACATCTCCTCCCAGATGCTAATGTGCAAAAATATTTGTTTTAGATATCATATAAGTGTGACAGTTATGAAGTATGGAGTCACCTGACTGAATTGTAAATAGCCAGTGGGGTTTGGTCCTTTTCTTTGGCCACTCTCATCATATCCAGAACAGCCATTCCAAGGCATTCTTCTTGTGTTTCATGAGTAACAGGCATCTGTATCCATCCATCCAAAAAATCATCTCGCCACTGAGAAAGAAGGAAAATTAAAACTGTAGCACTGCTGCTCATCAATAAAAGTTTTTTGAGGCTTTTTTTGTTGTTGTTGTTTAGGGTTATTTGGTTGTTGGGTGGTTTGGGGTTTTTTGGTGGGTTTTTTTTAAGACTGCATTCTTCTGAATGAATCCCTTTGTCCACAAAAAGCTGCACATGTTCATAATGGATACCAGCTGCTATCATGCTTAGAAACACATTTTTCAAAATATTTTGGTTTCAAATCTCGAAAAGGTCCATATGGGGAGGATGTTGTTCTACATTGTGTCAGTCCAAAACGAAAGTCACACTGAAAGACTTCCACATGGTAGTGGAAGACACAAGAAAGGAGCTACACACTCTCACTACTCTCCTCACAAATGCCATTTGAGCTTTACCTCTCCAAATACAAAATATGTCAAGAAATTAAATTTTCATTTTGAGTGGGCTTCAAGCTGTCAAAAAAAGTCTACAGTTACTATCAGAAGATGTGAAAGGGAATAAATACTAACAACCTTTACCAATCTGCATTAAAAAATAATCAAGCAAACCATACCTGTGCAAATAGGTAAGACATGACAAGATCATCAAGAACAGGGCTTTCTGCACCTCGAATAATGCCATACCGATACGCTCTGCTGGTACCATTGCAATGCCAGTGGGGAAAATAAAACCTGTTAGGAAATATTTAAGCAAACATCAGTAAACAGATACTTTTGCTTACCAACACCAGACATTATCGCTTTCGTAGACATGTAATTAGTTCTGGCTAGTTTGGAGGACCAATATGAAGCCCCAGTAGTCAATGGAAGGCTTTGGATCCAGCTCTTGGACTCTTAAAGTACTACAACATTTAAGCATTATGCAATGTAAATAAAAAAAATCTTTTACATAAGAAAAACAGTGATTGTAGCTTTAGACACCTACATTCAAAAATCAGGTTAGAGAAAAATGGTTGTATTGCAGATATCTGCCTGAATACACAGGATAATTACTTTGCTTTTCAGAACTGCCACTAATTAATTTCAAACAGGCAAGCACAGAGGAGATGTATCATTATTAAGAAAAATACTATTTTTACTTCTGCTATATTATTATTGTTTGCTTCTTCAATCTGACATGGCAAACATATGGTATATAGACAACCAATAAAATATGTTATTCAAACCTACTCCAATAATTTTGATTCTTTTATCTATCTCTTATCCAGATATCACCAACAAATCATCCATAACTTCTTAGAGAAACTATGGTTCAACTGAGTATCTAATTGGTTGTGTTTTCTCACATAGTTTTGTTTTACCATGAAAAGTGCATAAAATTTGATTTAGATTACCTTATCCGGTAAATTAGGATGAGTCTGGTTGCTTCATCTACATGGAAAATGTGATTTGGGGGATACCACATTCTCTCTGTTTCACTCATGAGTGCAAACATGTTATGATACACTGGCATGATACCTAAACAAAGAACAGAGAAGCAAATATTTATAGGAAATTAGTCTCACAAAGAATCATCCTTAAAAAAAAAAAAAAAAGGCAGATTGGCACATGTTCTCCAACTATTCACTGCCCTATCACTGTCAACAGCATTGCAATCATCAGCCCATAACTTGCAGACCGGTTTTGCTGGTTTATTTTTTCATTCTTCCTTTATGTTCTCTGACTGCAGGCTGTGTTAACCTGTTATCCTATACTTTACTGTTAGAGTACAAGATTTTCTTGTAATGGCTTTTAATACAATGGCTTCTTAGCCTCTCAGTTTCGTAACAGGTAACAACAGTCCATTACCTTTTTCCTTACCTTCTCCAAAAAGAGATCTAGGCATTGATTTTAAGATTTCAGACCAATGAAAAATTAACAGTAAAGCAATAGAAAAGACAGTCGTCATGACGGGGAACCACCTGTCATTTACATTTTAGTAGCTCAGTTAAGAACAAAACCAAATACACATCATAAAACAAAACTAGAAAATGTTTTTTCCCCTCAGCAACTCAGGACTGTTTTAATAAGAATTGACAAGCAATCCTACTTAATCACAAACCAGGGAAATCAGTTGAGCATCAGCTCCTCAGTAGCATCAGAATTTTTCATTTGGCTTTGGGGCTCCCAGCTGAAAGTACAGCCTAACATAAGACAGATGCCACAGCATTGTACTATGTTGCAGCGTTACGTATCCATCTGATACCAGTGTTATGAATTGGAAAACAGGTTATATGCCTCAGCACTGACAGTACAAAAGGATCAACTTCAACCACTGACAAACATTTTGATGACAGGAAGAGATACAGGTCTAGAGATCAGAGAGTAGGATGAAAATTACAGTGTGAAAGTTACAGGGGGTCATAATGAACGAAAACTGTTTATGCTAAAGCAATACACTACACTTTGGTGGAAGAAGGCAAAAAATATTGAGAAAATAACAGAGAGAGATAACAAAAGTAATTTTAAATGACATTAAGAGACAAAAGAATTATGGGAAAAGACAAACTACTCACAACCAAAGACTTAGAATGAAATAATAGAAATTCAAACAAGAAACCACAAGAAGAAAAAAAAATCCTTTCTTTCTTTCTGTTCTGAAAAACATTAGGTAACTACTGAAGAGGGCAGACTCAAATTTCTTTAATCGCATCTAAAGTGCATGTAAGAACCAGTTAGAAACAACTAATCATCTCCACATATAAAACTGCATAAGCTTGTGGAAGAAAAGGTGATTCAGTCTTAAATAACAACTAGCTTAAATTAGTTACAATATGAGGTTTGTTTCTGTAGGGAGCCAGTAAGAGAGCTAAGAACAGATGGTCTATTGTGCAGATGTCAGATTAAACTGCTGAAATCTACAGGCTAATCATCTGACACTTGTTTAAACTAAAGGTCACCAAAATATACCAGAAATACAGGTCCTAACACATGATTTTCTATGAAAGGAGTCACAGACTTACAGGAAACTACAGAAATGGAAAGAATTACATACAGTAACCAAAGAGAAACCAAAACTAAACAAAACCCCCAAAGGAATAACCCTGAAGGGATTAGTAACAGAAGGATTGGCTGTAAATCTAGATATTGCAAATATATGGTGCAGTAAGATGTATTTGATCCATCAGAGATTTGAAAAATGTCAAATTAACCCCATAAAATGGAGTTAAAAAGGAAATCTATCCCATGCAACCAAACATGGTTTTCATTTGATGTATGAAGTGGCATCAACTAGATTACATTACATTTCGTAGTTGTCTATAAAGCAGTAACAACTGACTTAGACACAACACAGCCTCAAAACTGCTATATTCCAAATAATTTCAGATCAATTACAGTGCTGTGCATGTGAATCATCAAGCTATTCCAGGATTCTAGCCAGATGATAAACACCATTCAAGGCAATGCTGAATATTTACCTAGCCTCACTAATACATTTCCCTTAACTATTAATAATCCCATGTAAGCACACTGAACAAGAAAAAATTTAAGTCATATTCTTAAATTCAAATGTTAAACTGTTGTATTTTACAAAACACATTACAGATACCTCCTCTCAGAAAAATCAAACCAAAACAAAAACCCCCACAGATATATCAATCGAGACAATATATCATTGCCATTATGAAAAAAACCCCAAATTTTTATGCAAGGAACTTGACTTTGGAATTCCCTCTACAGAGCAGAAATGTTGGCATTAACACAAAAAATCCAAATAATCCTTTGCTGTCTTCCTGTGTACGAAAAGTAAACTGTGCACTCATCTACCCCTCATACTTTAGCACTTATAATTCTGAATGGTAGCTTATACCTTCCACTGCCAGTGTTCAATGACATATAGATCATAAGTGTTTTTCAAGAAAAGGAGTTACACTTTTTTCTTTTCTCCTTCTTTCTTAAGAACTATGCGTTTGTGCCAGAATATTGCTACCCTTGGAAAAGTTCGATGATTATTCAAACAGAGCAAATCCCCTTACTAGAGTCTGGAAAATTGTTCGCAAAAGTCTGACGAAAGCAGAAAGGCCAGAAACATCTTTTCATGTAATTCTTACCAGCACTATTAATTACAGGGACTTTTCAAGTGAATAACAACTGCAGTATTTAAGTGTTTTCTCCAGACACAATGAAAACCAAAAGGCTGGGGGTGGAGGTGGGGGGGGAAAATCAGCCTTCTGGTGAAGTCTAGACTTGTCAACAATAGTGAAAACTTCTGAGAAATGCATTTTGAACACAAGTAAAATCAGAAAAGCTGTTCACAACAGGTACTAAAAAAACTCCCCTGGACTTCTGCACCGCACTAACCATGCTATCAAACCAATCAATGATTAATTAGGAGAGGAGACAGTGACTCAGACATAGTAAAGCAGAATTCTTCTCCACTTTTGTTTCTCCTGCAAGGGCTATTAAATAAATTTTCTGAACTACTGCAAAGATAAAACCATGACTATCTCTTGGCAAGCATTTTATTTAGCACATAAGGCTAAATAAAGGAGCCTCACCATACTATACAGACTGTCAAGTAATATCATGAAAGGCTGTAACACAGCAGAAGTTTATTCCTCAAACTTCTACCTTAGGCCTAAAAGAAGAATGATTTGCATAGTAGTTTCCTCCTTTCCTCATTATGATTTTAGAGCTCCACATCCACACAAGTCACACTGCTTCCTTTACCCTGAAGCAGCTGAGGAAATACAGTTTTTCTGTATTTCCTCCTTTGTTGGCATTAGGTATCTTTTCACCCAAACAGTATGTTTTCATTAGGTAATGACCCTCTGTAAAGAAAAAATAAAAATCAGAAACCATTAGTCATCAAAAGCCTTAATGCCACTATGAAATATGAAAACCATACATAGTCTACAGTAGAAAGTGTCTTATGAAACTGTCAGTTTAAGTATATTAATAAAATCACTAGACACATACAGTTGCACGCAGTTAATGATTAAAAATTATTTAAAAAAATCTCCAATTTTCAAAGTCCAATACAAACATTAGTCAGTTCTCACACTAAACTGTCACGTAAACTATCTGAAACTTAGAAAGCCTTGCACATACCAGGTGGAAAATTGCTTGGCTTTTCTTACGTAACAACAGTATCTTACCCTTATCTTTCATACAAACTGGAGGCTTACCAAACTCTGACACCACATTCAATGTCACTATCCTGTCAACATAATGTTTTCTGAATAATCAAATCACGTTTCCTTTTCCTGGCAAAACAGAATTGCCCAGAGTTCTGGCTAATCCGTTCCTCACCCTGGGGTGTGGAGTGGTGCTGTGTGCAATTTTCAGGAAAAGCTATCACTTAAGAATAAAACAAACCTCCCAAAACCCCTCAATGGGCAGTTACAATCAATGACAACTCTGAGCCATGTAAATTCTGGAAATTCAGTACGTTACAGATAAATAGGCTGAAAATTCTCTAGCCACTAACAAGGAATCTCCTCTGAACCATACAAGCAAAGAGGTGCTACAGAATACCACCATCCTCATATTATGCAACAAAATCCCTCCCTTGAAAATATTTAATTGACTGCAGACACTGTCAGTGCTTAGTCACATTAAGTGTTTTGAAACAGTGTTTTTACTTTGGTATAATAAAAAAAAATCTTATGGCTTTCTGGGAGGCACCACAAGTTTTCAAGGAAAGTACCATGGAACTTCCAATGTATTTGCAAATCAGTTGGGCGAGAATTAAAAGGTTCCTGGGTGGAGTTTCAGGATATCAACATTAAAAAAAAATAAAAATCCAACACAAAACCCACACAAGCCAACAAATTCAAGATCTTTTGTTAACTACTAGCTACCTGTAACTCAGCAACCCAGTTAGGACTATCAAGCTAGTTCCCTCTTGGGATTCTGGCGCAATTAAAAAGTTAAGCTTTTGGAGTTTAATCATCCTAACACAAGGGGAAAGGGGAAAACAGAACAAAAGCCTGTCAGAAAGTAGGTTAATAAAATCAGATATGTCCTACAGAAATTTAGGGTTCACTTACACCAAGGGGATAAGCCATGGCAGAAATGCACAATGCTGAACGAAACTATGCTCCTTGGTTGACTTTGCCAAAATATTTTTCAGTGTGCTACTTTAGTGTTATAATTACATTTAAAGTCACAAGCTTTGCATACTTTACTACTAATTTATTAAGATTTTCAAGAACATGGTACAAATTTATTTGGCTAACACCAAAGCAATGCTTTGCTTATAGTTGTAATTGTTTTAACTGTGATTTACAAACTCACTTGCCTAATGTAACATAAAAATATCTTCACTTTGTTAACTTTAATTCAGTAACAATTTGGATTATACTTACAAGTGATGCATATATTTTTTACTCACATTATTCAGCCAATGGACTAAATCAACAAATTGTTAGTTTAAAACTTAAAATTATTTTTCCATGTAATGCTGGTCTTGTGTGTAACAGATTGTTCTGGTAAGTTACAGTCCTTAGGTTTTTTGTATGCTTGTTGGTTTGGGGGGGTGGGGTGGGTGGGGGTTTTTTGTGTGTTTTGGGGGGTTTTGTTTTTTTAAAGTACTTTATGTGATGATAAAAACTCTTAAAGACATTTACAAGAGACTGGGTAGTATCTTATTGCAAACTTACTGGTATAGCATAGTTATAATAATATAGTATACAAAACATCCTGCTTTCTGTATACAAATAAATACATCCAAGATTCAAATTCAAAGCCCTCAAATATTTCCAGTAGTCTTTATCTGATTTACCTACACCACAACAAAATTCAGTTAATGTTATTTCTAATTACACTTGTTAATTTTTAAACACAGATTTCTAATTTTTTTCATACTTTACACTTCAAGTAAACAAAAATTATAAACAAAGTTTGTGATTGTTTACAGAATAACTATATTTATTTATTCTGTAAAATATCACATCAAACTTGCAT